AAAAACAATAGATGAGGAAAGCGCAGATGAGGTAACTTTTAGTGGGAAACATTTTATGTTATTTTGGATAATCTTTTATTTGAATTAAATCGAAGAAAGAATGCCTATGAACATGTATTTAATCTTTTTGGATTTTTTAATTCATTATGCGACATCCCTGATAATGGTAATATTAACAAAAGCTAAAGAACTATTGTATATATATTCAACAGACTTGGACGAAGATTTTCCAGAAGAATGTATACATACATTTAAAATATTTTATAAAAAGCTTGAGACAAAAAAAATCTAATACAGAACACATGAAAATGGCTGATATGTTAAAATTAATAAGACAACAAAAAATTATTTCTACTTATTCAAATATCGATACAGCTTTGAAAATATTTTTAACCATACCAGTAACCAAAAAAGAGAAGAGAAAGGTCGTTTTCGGTTTTAGGAAGAATTAAAAATTATTTAAGAAACTGCATGGGTGATTTAAAAACCAGTAATTTGTCACTTTTGTGTATAGAAAATACATTGGTGGATTCCTTATAAGGAATAATAATAATAATAATAATTAATATTTCCTCATCTATAGATGAGGAAATATTAATTTCAAATTTTATAAGCTGTAAACTACGAAAAAAAGTTTATTAAAAATTAAATCACGCTTTGGTTTTTTTTTTCATTTTATTTATTTTCTATAAAAAATTTTTCAAAATTTTCGAGGACGAAAAAAATGTGGGGCTTTTAAAAAATTGGGGGGCGCATGAAAACTTTTGGCCCCGGGCGCCACGAGACCTTAATCCGGCCCTGCGTAAGGTGTGTGTCTAAAATGCATTATAGCACTGTAGAAGTGGTTTATTGTGGTCTCGGTTACTATGTCTTACCTCGTCAAGAGTTTGAACGTGACTGGATGTTTAATCTAACATATAATATATATATTATATGAGGTTGATATTTTTACTTTTATATATATGAGGTTGATATTTTTACTTTTTAATCAATAAATTTCAAAAATGGTATTCTATTTTGACCTGGTTTATTAGTTTTTGTATAATAAGACTTGTCAGAATAATCTCGTTTCGCTCTCGGTCTCGATCACTTCAGTCTAGTCTAGGTCTCGCTCTCGGTCCGAGATCAAGAGCGATTTTCTTGGTCTCGACAGAAACACCAACACAGGTGGATCGGAAGAAGAGGTTTCATAGAATGGCCAACAAAAGATAAAAAACACAACCAGCCTATTTAAATAATTTATTTATTTATTTAGTAACAGAATAATTGCAGACATTAGAATCATAACACCGGAGGTTTTAAACAGAGTGCGAGAACAACTTTACAGTAGATTACTTATGTGTAGACATTCGAATGGGGAACATTTTTAACATTTATAAGAATAAAGAACAGTTTATTTTTCATTTATTGTTGAATTTTAAAATTAAAAGTTTAGTTTTTTAATATGTCATTACATTTCCACCCTATATTAAAAATTATGATTCCTAGACCCCACTTATGGGGTATCGCTGTACTCAGAAAAATGTGCACTATCAATTTTCGATTGCAAAAAATGGGATTGTTATTTAAAATACATGTGCATAATGTGCTAAGGGAAAATGGTGAGGGTAAATTTTAAATAAAAACCGAAGTGTACATGTCCGTGCATTTTTATAAAAATCTTTTCTCATCGAATAACAAATTTTATTTAATTAGTAAGAACCACATTAAAATTATTCGAGCGTTTGGTTTTATTTTAAAATAAACTTATTAAAGTGAAAAGGTTTAAGGTCAAAGGTCAATATCGAGGCCTTAGCACAATTCTGCGCGTGCCACAACTTAACAGAAAGCGTGCGAAATAACAAGTTACGTCATGCACTCACGTTGAACCTACTGTATTAAAAACCGAGTGGTTTAGCGCTAACTAAATTTCCTAGCTGGTCAGTGCAAACCATAGCGCCCACTGTCTAGGAAACGGAGGGCTTTGGCGTGCACTCCGTTTTATAGCTGGTCAGTGCAACAAGTTTTTATTTTTTTGTCCATGATTCTTTGTATAAAATTGCTAATAAAATGCACTGGGTGTGTAGACATCGTTGCATCTTTTTTAAACGTACAGTTTTACCCGTACGTTCAAAACCTTACAAAAATAAAGAGGTCTCTTTACAATACGCTATAGATCTTTTCCATTAAAAAAGTCTTTCTCCAAAAATATGTCTAAAAAAGGGGGGTTAAACGATAATAGGCTTTAAATGCTTATTGACAACACCATAATTATGTACTTTTTATGTTAAACATATTTAATGTACTATGGTCCACACCCTGAAGTCTCACCTCGTGAATTTAATAAAAATAATTAATCTTTTTGTCGGTTTCAAGCTAATTTCGTCTTTTGGAAAAGAACACAAAGAATACATATGAAGGGGTACGAAGCAAAAGGGTACAAGTGCATTTTAGCATGAAAATAATTAAATGCAGAATTGGGTGGTTTAGAGTATAATTTTTTTAAATTTTCTCATAACGTGAAAATTGAACGTTTCTGCATGTTGATTAATGCAAACATTCAAACAAGTATCCAGATTTTAGTATATAGCAAAAACTTTTGTTAATAACTCCACTTCTCTTGTTCGCACTTGTACCTTTTTGCTTCTTACCCCTTCATATATTATATTATTTTTAGAAAATAAGATGAAATTAGCTTGGCACTGACAGAGAAAATCACAACCGAGATGGCGTGACAAATGACAGGTGCAACATAACGGAAGTATTAAAAGACCGCATACAGAAAGCAATAGATGAACTGAATGAGCCGCGAATTATTCGTAAAGTATACGGTAGATTTATTTAAGTTAGCGGAAAAGTGTGTCAAGGTGGGAGGTAGTTATGTTAAATAATTTTAAATATATTTTAATTTTCATTTGAAAATTTTTATTTAGACTCTGTTAGTTTATAAACAACTTTTCCATGAAATTTCTGTTAAAAGTAGGTATTAAATAATGATACTTATTTCTTGAAGCATTTTAATGTTTTCCTAATTAATTAGCACCCTGTACATCTGACCTAAAATTTTTATGTTTAAAATTAATTTTCGTAACAAGCAGGACTTCTTATAAAAAAATTATATTATCTTAAAGTAAATTATAAAGATTTGTATCCTTTTGTGTACTCCATCCGTGAACACACTGTAGATTAATTAACAATAAAATATCTAATACAATTTTAAAAGATTATGTAACAATAATTGTTATTAATTATTAATGTTATTTTATGCAAAATGTACCTATACCTAAACAAGAATAAATAATTCTAGAATTTTTTAAGCTTATTTTTGGTATAATTTAGCCGTTTCCTTCAGTTGGCAAAAATGTGATCAAATACCTAATATTTTAATTTTTAAACGTGCACGTTTAATCATGATTCAACAAAAAAATAAAAATATAAATAAAAGAAAACAGTTACCAAAAAGGATTTTTTATATTTGTATGTCAAGGTGTCCAACTAGATTTTCCTAAGGAACCATCCGTTATATTATTATTATTATTATGTAATTGTATTTTTCATTGTTTAATTAAATCAACCTTAAGCTTATAGATTATTAAATTAGCATTGTCAAATAGGAACTATTATAAAATTTCTATCTAATTGGTTCATTGGTATTTGAAAATACGAAATTTCATATTAACCTTTTATTTTATTTATTTACTCATTATTAAAGATCAAAGAAAAGCAGTAGTACCTATTATTAAAAAAATCATATACCTATATATATATATATATATATATATTTATATAGTACTTCTAATAATGTGGAGGCATACAATTTGAAAATTCCCATGATGAAAATATGTTTTTTTAATGTTAATAATATTTAATAACATTTTTAGTCCAAGGTTTCTAAATATGTACCTATATAAGTATATATATGTTGAGTTAATACAACATTTTTAGGATGCCCTGTATAGTTTTGTATAGAAAGAAATGTGCTTGCGTTGACATAAATTAAAAGAAAGGAGTTTGTCAATTGACATGACTAAAGAATATAAGGAAAGTTCTTGTTGTGACGAACAAACATTGGAGGCGCAAAAATATTGCAAACTTATTTAAATTTATTAGGTAAGAAGGTCATACGTAGGAATTTTTGGTTTTAAAGTAAGGAAAATACAAAGTTAGTCATTTTTATTGTGCAATATATTTCCAATTAAAAAACCATACAAAAAAATGTGAAAATTATAATTAACAATATATGTAATTGTTATAATATTAGATTACAGATTACCACTTTAGGAAATAAGTTTACTTAACATAGCTACCTACAAGAGTATAAATGACGAGTGGGTAGCCTGGGTTTTCGAGAATGCGCCCGTTCTTATATTGCCGAAAGTTAAATATTCGCAAATCAAATAAGTTTTTTCCCCGAACAAACCGCACGACGCGTCGCGACGCACTATACTCAAAAACATTTTATGGAAAAAATGGTATCCAAATTTCTATAATTTTAGGCCAATATTTTTTTTATTAAAAAGTTTTTAATTTAATTATAATGTAACAAAGAATTTAAGAGTAAAAGATCAAATGAGGAATCGATTGATGATAACACGAGAATCTTCTGAAACCAGTTGGTTAGGTATATAAGTCAGCTGCGTGACGCATTAAGTAAATAGATAACAGTAAAAAGTAAGTATTTTTTTTATTAAGTGCGTACGTTTATAGGATATATTTTAAAAAAGTTTTTGCTAGTAAATAAAACTTATACATATTTGTGTTACACAAAGCATTCGAAGTTTAAAATACAAATTGCTTTTAACAAGTGACACGGATCCACAAAAATCTCTCACTTTAAAAATTGTTTTTAAAACAATGCTTTAAATCACTGTGCTTTATGCATCATCCTTCTCATCTCCCGTCCTCGTCTCCTAAACTCTTCGGCGGCTTACCTCTCGCCATTACCTTGAACCCCACTAGAAGCATCTACCTTCCACCGTGGTAAATATACCTCGTACATACCGTGGCATGCCTCAACTCAACCCAGTCACTCGCAACCGTAGGTACCCGTATTTTCGTCCTCTTCTTTCCTTCTCAGACCACAACAACACTCCGTGCGGCAAGAAACAAGTGCCACTCTCCAAAACAACAACATCAACATAGCCACCTCAGTTTAGTGATGTGATCAACACTAAATTCAAACTATATTTGTGTGTGATAACTGTTGTGATGAAGTTCGAAGGGTTTGTGTTCACAGTGCTTTTGTGCTATAGTTTTACGTTGGCTGATGAGTGCCAAACTAATGGAAAATGTACCGAGAAACAGGAGAATGGCACGCTTAGTAAGATTCATAACTCACTTTAGAAGGATGTTTTAATTATCTTTTTTATGCTAGAAAAATACCTTCTCTTTAAGGTGTTATTTTAAAAAAGAAAGTTGGGCTGTCTAAAGATTATATAAAAGTTAATGAATTACATTAGATAGGTTTTTGGTTGCCCTGCCTGTTCAGATTTTATCTACCTGGATTTTAATTTCGAAATAATAACACTGGGATAGTCTATGTTAAACATAAATTGCCTCTCTGAAAATTAACCAGCCTTGTATAATTGCCTTACATTTTTCATTGGTTTTTACAGGGGTACAAATTAAAGAAACGTAATATTATGGTAAAATGAAGATCCTTTGAAAGTACCAATTATATTTTTAAATCCTGATTATATTTTACAAAAAGTCTTTTAAACCAATAATTATTACTTTTCCACAAAATTCCGTTAAAATATCATGTTTATAGGAAAACTCTTTAAAACACAAAATTAACTATTTTTAAAATACTTTTCATATGCCAAAGGTTATTAATAAAACTGCATATCAAATTTAATGTTCCCTTTCTCAAGTAGGCAAATATAAATTTGAAAATGTAAAAAGCAACAAATATTTTGTTACAAAACCAGTATACATTTTATAGATATAATAAATAGATACTAAATATTTCTATTTAAGTGTTTAAAAATGTATAATAAATGTTTTTGTTAAGACGTCGGTTAATTTGTTTGTAAAACAATATGTATTTGTTTGCAATTAATACCATTAATAAATATAATGAATAATTGGTATTATTCGACCACTGATGCTTATAATCAAAATTATGACCCAAACAATATTTTATTATAAAATCTTCATTACATGTACCTACCTGTATGGAATCTTACCTATATCAAGCCAAACTATGCTATACACTTGTTAGGCAATGGTTCAATTTTAACGGTATTTTTCATGATTCGTCATCTTTTATTATAAGATACTACAGTCTCTTAAGGCCCGATCTTAAAATCTTTGGAATGCCTGAATAACGCAGGTATTCAAAATAAACCATCTACTTTTATTTTTTTAATCAGCCTAAGTTTATTTATTTATCAAGTAATAAATAAATTATTGATGAAAAAGTATACTTTATAGACATATATGTCTCATGAAAATAAAACCATTTTTTATTCCTATAGGTAGGTTACCTACAGTAAATATTATAATTAAATTATAATTAATTTGTAAAGGAAATTCCAAAGATTTTTGTTATGTAATGGTTTAAAAATACTTACATCAAGGTTTTCTATGACTTATCAAATACTTTTTTTATCGAATAACTTTTTTAAAAGAACTTTAATTAATTTATAAAATATATAGAATTTCTTTCTACAGTATTCGGCTTCTCTGTCTCTCAGACATAGGGTTTTGTTTGCTGGAGCATATAATTAAATTTATATAAGAATGAAAAATCATACAAAAAGTAAAAAATTACTTTCTTAAAATAAAATAGTAATTGTTTAGAACGAGTAAATATTAAACTGATAATACACTTTAACATAAAAACATTACAATAAAACTCGGTTAAACATGTTTTTTTAACCCTGAATTATAATAATAATTATTATTATTATTGATTAAAAGTAAAAAGTAAGGCTAATTTTATATTATTATTAAATAGATCCGACATTAGTCTAATTTTTTTATTGGTCCATCATTTTTTACAGACTAGGAGGTAAAAAACTTGGTCTAAATGATTTTTCCTCGGATTTTTCATAGTAAGTGTTGACAATAATAAAACTTTTTTTTATTATGAATTAATAAATAAGAAGCAGTTACACTTAATAGTTTACAGTATTAAAGTTAATTAATAAGTTGATGTAACTAATTAAAATTGAGTAAAACTGCAGTAATTTATTAACGAGCCGTTGATTTAAACTGTATTTCCGGTTTTTAAAATAATTTGTACACAAAATTGCCTACCTTATAATAAATGTCCCGTAAGCTTAGGGGACATTAATTAATTACGTGAGGCATTTTTCTGATAGTTTGGACCCCCCCTTCCCCTTGGTGAAATGTGGTAGACCCCTATTCCCCACCTAAGATTTTGGCCATTACACTTTCTTTGCGAACAACATGTAAAAAAAATGATAATGATAGTGATAATTTTTTTTTACAAATTTGAATTATAATAAATATTTTTTAAACTGACAAGTTGACGTGAGATTTTAAATGATCTCCACCTCTCCTTTAAAATGAAATTTGGGGAGATTTTGCTGGACCCCTACCCTCCATTTTTGTCTCAAGCGTAATTAATGGATGTCCCCTTACACCATTTATCTAAAGAGACATATTTTCGTGACAAAATTTGATGGTTTCGTTGTTTTAATGTTAAAAGAAGTTTTATATTACTTTTATGAGAAGTTCTCGTTGAGAACACATCAATAAATATAAATTTTTGAAAAATTACTAAACTTTTTTTGAAATTTTCGTTTTAAACTTATTTTTCGTAAAAGGAATCGAAAATTTCCAAAAGTTAAAAAAAACGCAATTTTTAAGAAACTATTTTCGCACGTGAAGTAGTCAATGTTTTACTTGACAATATGAATATTTGGTTTCTTGATATTGTATATTTGCGTTTAGCTTTAAACAAGGCAAAAATGTTTATTTAGTAAATGAACAATAAATGTTTTTGCTGGCCTACAAACATGGGCATGAAAGTATAGAACGAAGTCAGAAAAGCGGTAACGTTCATTTTAAGAAATGGAAGAAAATATTGGCAAATATTAACAGCAAAACAATTCCAGCTAGTACCTACATGTATACAGAGAGAAATAAGTCCGGCAAATGAAACACAGAAAACTCAACATTATTGTTATTCCCGTTATTTATTGCTCACAAATAATTTAATTGATCTATTGTTCATTGATTATGGAAAAAATTATAAATATGTTTAATTAGTGTTGTTATTAAGTTGTAGTCTACTGACCCAGTTTATGTTAAAATTAACATTTAGTTAGAAATATGGACTTTTTTATTTAATTTTATTGGTTTTAAGGAGGTATGAGCAGAACATTGCGGAGGAAGGGGTAAGGGGAGTTTTTTTATACTGAATGAATAAAAAGCGATATGTACCAACTTGCAGAAACAAAATTTACTTAGTCATTTTACTACATTTGAACAGTCAATTTTTTAACTGATTTATAATTATTTTTTATTTTAATACAAAAGGCACTATATATGGTAACAAAGGAACGTGAATTAAAAAACGTAAAAAATAGGATTGAAACTTGTTGCGTTGATGAGAGTTGGTTTCTATGGTAACGCTTTTTGCTTTTGACAAAACATAATAATTCCTTTTCACAACTCATTTTAAGATTTTAAATACATCTTAAAATGAGTTGTGAAAACGAATAATAATAATAAGAAAAAAATTATTAGAAAATGATAGGTACAAAAATACCAAAAATATAGCAACAGAAAACATGCAGTATGTTGAATGCGTCGAAAGTCTTGAGAACAACAGAAAAAAAATATAAGTAAACTATAAATTAAATATTAATAATTTACTTTAAATAATGGTACTCACCAAATAAATCAAACCTAGATAATCACGTGTTCGTAATCCAGTGTTGCCGGATCTTCTAGACGAAAATGACAAATTGATAATTATGGTTGGACACAGTCAACCGAGCAGTCAACATTATCGTTTGCAAAGTTAACAACAATTTATACGGCACTTTTGCACGTTAAAAGATATACATTAATTAAAGACATGGGCTGTACAGGAGATGTATTTAATTAACTCATATCTTATAAAATGACAATAAGATATCGATGAGTTTTTTCTTGTTTTCGAGTTTATTTATCCTAGTACTTTAATAATTTTTAATTCGGAAACCAGACAGTTAAACTTTCTAAAACTTTGTACCTAATTGTCCTTTAACTCTACTACAACATTTTCTCATTGCGACTAATATCGTGCCTAAACCTTTTTAAATAGTAAGTCTAAGAAAGGTTTTTAATATCTCTAAAATAAGGTTTAAAATATCTTTAAGAGGTTTTGCAAGCCACTAAGCAAACAAGAAAATTCTGCCAAAAACTTAAAGTTAAAAAAAATTCCCCTATACGCCAAAATTGCAAACTTTCGTGGGAATCGGTCTGCAATTTTAAAAGTTTAATCTAATTTAAGAACTACTATGGTATACAATCGTATCGTGATTTCATGATGCTATAATTCATATGCATCTCGAAAATTTACGTAATAAGATGCAAGAACATGTTGCCAGACAAGTCTGGGAAGAAAATCGCAGAGAAATCATTGGGAAAGTGTATGTATATATATATCATAAAATTAAAAAAATAAAAAGTTGAAAAAACAATGCTTTCCTAGTAAAATGCTATAAATTATTAAGAAGGAAGCGTTTATGGCTTCATGGGTAAAAATAAATAAAGAAATAAAAAATAATAAAAAACGTATTCGTGATTTAATTCAAGGTTTTCTTGGTAGTAGATTTATTGTTAGTCGTGATGAAGATGTTCTTGTGTTTTTTATTTTTTTGTGCTGCGGATAAGAAAATACTTTGCATGACAAAAAAGAATATAAGAAAATACAAACATAATTTTTGGGATATATTTAAAATATATTACATAATACAAATACTATAGTATTTGTATTATGTAATATAGTATATATATATATATATATATATATTAGGGTGAGCCAAAAAAACTAACCTATCGGATTTATGGGTTAAAATGAACCTACATACCGAGCAAAAAATTTCCCTGCAAGGTAAAATTTTTTGCTCAATTTTAAAAGGTGTCGGTGAGCATTCTTTTTCCATTGAAATAACACGTAAAAAAATCTTTTTTCATTAAAAAGACTATAACTTTTGAACCGTTTGAGATAAAATTTTTTACGTCGCGGATTCTTGTAGAGCATAAAATTTCCCAAAGAATCTATACCATTTTTTTTTTTTTTAATTCAAAAATTCGTATGTTTGAAAGCTTTGAAAAGTGTAAAAAATCACTACAAAC